TACTTTGTTTTTCTCAGTAATTTAGATAGTCTTTACGTGACTGCCTCAGCTACTGATTTAAAAGCCCCAGGAAGGCAAAAATCCATACTTTACTTTTATATTTACTCTAGCAGCTGCCACAGTGTTCTTACATGTAGTAAATACTCCAACATTTTATTGAGGAAACGAACCACTTTGTAAAGATCACAGGAAAGAATTCTCTTCAACTTTTTATATTTCAACATTTTAGGGTCAATTTCAGTATTGAAAAAATGACCAAGTAAAAAAAGGTTCATGTTGTCTTTAATATCTAAAAATATTTTGTTTGTGAGTGACCATAAATTACTTATTAACTCATGATTGTGATCTAATAATTTATTGAATGTTACACTATAACAATAATATGTTACTATTTTTATCCAATAGTAGCATTTATGTAATCTTTCTCTGCCTTAAGTATTTCTCAGCCTTTGAGCATGCCATTCTTGCTGCATGCATACCCTCAGAAACTAACTAACTCTGTCTTTGGAATTGGTTTGGATATTCTGGGGATCTTTCTCTAGCCATCTCACTCCTAATTCTTGCTTTGTTGTTTGTGTGTGTTCCTAAATTGCTCTGTATTTCTCATGTTGAGTACTTGTCACATGTTTTTATAATTGCCCATTTTCTTGTCTGTTCCTTGTCAGACTTTAGCTTTGGAAAGAGCTGGGAAAGAGTTGAACAGTAGTGAGCTGGTGTCTCTAATAGACCCTGGCATGGTGTTAAGTATTTGTTGAATGAATGAGTAAATACATTTATGTAAATATATTTACGTTCCTTGTGGGTTTTTAGTTTTAATTAGTGTGGTTCATTAATTTATAACAAAACAAATATTAATTTAGTGCCAAGTGTTATTATGTGCCAGGTAGTTGGCTAAACCAAGTCTTACCCTGAAGAAGCTGATGGACTCATGGAGTGAAACAGGTGTAGTGCTTTGAAGACAATACTGTAAATTGGAGGAGTGTTCTAGAGGGTAAAGGTGTTTTTACCCAGAATGGTCAGAGGAAGACTTCTGCAAAGAGGTGATATTTGAGCTGAAATCTTAATTAGGAGAAAGAAATACCCTTAGGAAAATACGGGCAAAGAGCATATTCTAGTCAGTAGGGAGTGAGCACAAGGGAATTTAGGATAAGGTGGTTTATTAGAGGTTACCTAGCTCTACATGAAGAAAAATTACTTTCATGATCTACTGTGTGTGCTAGTCAGTACTTTAGGTTATAGAGGGCACTTGGAGAAAAAAATGGATAGATGGCTTATTTCAGGTTTTTGTCAACACTGGAAAGACAATTCAAATATATTGACTATAGCAGCGGTCCCGAACCTTTTTGGCACCAGGGACTGGTTTCGTGGAAGACAATTTTTCTGGGAGTGGGAGCTCAGGCAGTGATGTAAGCAATGGGGAGTGGCTGTAAATACAGAAGAAGCTTTGCTCTCTTGCCCGCAGCTCACCTCTTGCGGTGCAGCCCAGTTCCTAAGTTTCATGGAATATAATTTTTCCATGGATGGCGAGAGAGAGGGAGGCAGAGGCACCCCGCAGCCTGGTTCCTAATAGGCCACAGACTGCTACCAGGCTGTGGCCCTAGGGTTGGAGACTGTAGGTCTATAGGATTATTATTTTTCAATCACATGAGGTGAAAACTTGGAAAAACTCAATAAAACCCAATTAGCTTAAAAACTCAAGAACCATGTATGTCTTTATAAATATAGAATGTTAGTAAATTACTTACTTTGTGGGTGAAATTCTTCGAATTTTTTTGAGAAGTAGATATTCCAGGTTTCTTTAATTTTGATGAATAATTTGTTTTGGAGGGAATTCAAATACATCAATATAAAAAGAACTTGTAAATGAATTTATCTCTTTTGTTTTTATTTTAGATTTTGAAGATGATGATCTCTATGGCCAGTCTGTAGAGGATGATTATTGTATTTCTCCATCAACAGGTGAATTTTAGTTTTCCATGAGACTATAATATGTAACATTTAAAAAGATAATTATATGTTAATTTTTAAAGGTATATAAAATAATTTCTTTTCCCATGAATGAAATACTTTTGATTCCATCATTTAAACAATCTCAAGAAAACTCTGAAGACTGTGGTTTTTCCAATATTCTTTGCAACATACAGTTAATCAAAATGTACTAAACCAGTGATTTAGTCAATAATGAAATTCTAAAACCTCTGGAGTCAGGCAGCCATTAATTTTATTTCCCTGAGTATCTTTTTGATATTAGAAACATTGAGGTGTTATGCATAGACTTTTATTTATTTATTTGTGCTATTCTTCAGAAATGATTCCCTTTATATAGTACTTTATCTACTGTTAAACAGTTTGGTAAATAAACCAAATACATATAGTTCAGATTTCTGATGGAGCCACAGAGGGATTAGAGTTCAAGTTTCTATATGATTCCACATTAGAGCTGCATCTTTTAGCTCATATACCTAGAGATTTCTTCTCTAGCACCTTATAAGGAAGAGATTCATACGTTCTTTCAGCAAAGACTGAGTCTTTGATCCCAATCTTTCTCTCATTTCTCTAATGATGTATTTGTCTTTAAATTTCAGCCTACTATATATACAATTGGTTAAAATGCCTGCTAAATTTTAGTATGGCATACAGAAGGGGTACAATTTACCTGTAATTAGGTATTGTATAAATATAATTCATAAAACTCATTTTCCACAAGTTTAAAGGTTAATATAATTAACATTTCCATCAAAGTCCTCTGCTATGATCTGAATGTTTGTGCCAAAATTCACATGTTGAAATTCTAATCCCCAAGGTGATGGCATTAGGAGGTAGGGTGTTTGGGAGGTGATTAGGTCATGGAGCAGATCCCTACTAAAGATTAGTGCCCTTAAAAAAGAGGTCCCAGAGAGACTCCCTCACCCCTCTATCATGTGAGGACACAGCAAGTAGGTGCTGTCTGTGAGCTCTAAAGCAGGCCTTCACCAGACAGAGTCTGCCTTGATCTTCGACTTCCCAGCCTCTGAATGTGAGAAATAAATTTCTGTTGTTTGAAAGCTGCCCAGTTTATGGCATTTTGTTATAGTAGCCTGAATGAACTAAGACATCCTCCTTGTCTTAATTACCTTATAGTCTGCTGGGCTGTCCTATAAACTGTACCTGCTTTAATCCCATTTTTATCCTCTGAAAACCAAATATGTTCCTTCTAACTTTTATAATTTGTTTTTCTTTATAAAGGCATGGATGCTCCAGAAGTTGTCTTATCCTATCTACTCTGTCACCTTTTTTCCTGTTACTTGTTATTTTGAAATGCATCTTGCTGTTTATTTGTAGGCATGTTCTTCAGGTCAAGTACTTCCCTCATTTAGCTAATCATGGCCTCTCTTCCTTTAGTGTTTCACTGTTATAAGTCAATATTCTGTTAGGAGATAGAAATTGCACCTATTATTTTACCAGAGAATTTAATATGAAAAGTTGTTAACCAGGTGTTACAGAACTAAAAAATTCAAAAAGGACAACCAGAATATCAAGAAGGTAGTAACTTCAAGAAGCATTTGCCATCCCTAGTGCTTATGGGAATAAATGGACAAGGTTGAAACCGATGTCTTAGAAACTTGTGAGGGCTGCCTGGAGCTGGGACTTAGACCATGAGAGGAGGGTTCTGCTTTGCTGCTTTGCCTCTGAAGTTTATAGGAGGGATTGTGAGCTGGGACTCAGACCTCTGGAGAGGAAGGCACTATGTGACTGATGCTGGTGCCTCTGAAGAGTCCCTTTGAAGCTGGAATTCAGTCTTTTGAAGAGGGTATTCCAGCCTACTGGCTTGTCATGGTGTCTGGGGAGCAAAGAGGCAAGTTGAAGCGGTTCTGAGAGTTTTGGAAAAACTGAAAATGCATATTAATTGCTATTTACTGGAGCAAACTGCTTCTGCAAGGTGAAGTGTTGCTAGGGTGACACTGACTGGAACAAGAAGCAAAAAGGAAGCAATGTGTGCCTTCCTTCTTCAGTCTTCTAGTCTCCCTTTAGCATCTCCTTCCTTGATCTTAAGAGGGAGCCAGGTGTCCAAGAAGAAATGCGTTTTTCAGAGACTTCACCCCAGCATCACAAAGCTGAGTAAAGAATGATAGGTTAGAAGTTGAGAAACGGCCTAATTGCTTTAAAGCTCCTTATTCAGGGCTTCAAAAGAAGGCATTTTGTAAGGATTTAGGAATAAAACAAATTTCACATTTTCCAAGGTACCTCATAGGTGCTTGCTCTTTGGGGTTCCTACAATTCAGCATCACAGTTGACTAGGTAACGTAAATTTTAAAGGTGATAAAGTGATGTCTGGTAGCACTATCCTCATCATTCACATTCTAATAAGCACAATAGAGAGCATGGCATGTTCATGGAACTGAGATGATGATGTGGGTATAATGTTAAATTTGAGTTTTAAAATCTACATGGTAGAGAGTACATTAAAGGTGCTACTTGAATGCATATAGGCAGACTAGATAGGAAACTATTATATGTATTTATCTAAAGGACATGAGGTTATTTTGGGACAGTGTTCTCAAAGTATGGTCCCTGAACTGTCAGCAGCATTCGAGAGTTTATTAGAAATATAATATTCGAGGCCGCACCCAAGAGTCAGAAACTTTGGAAGTGAGGCACAGCAGCTGTTTTAACAAGTCCACTAGGTTATACTATGATATGCATTGAGAACAGTTTGTGTAGGACAAGAGTGGTAGCATTGGATTTCAAGGTAAAGAAAAAATTTATAGGAGTTGAAGTTTATAGGATTTGGAAGTTGTTGAATATAGCTTGCTTAAGAGTAGAACCCTTCATAGAGAGAGGTATTACTGAAAGACACCCTAGTATTGCAGGTTAATGTAGTCATTTATCTAGGCTTATCTGGATAAATAACTTTATCTTGAGTAATGAGCTAATGGTACACATAGTCAGATCTTCAGAGGGTGTTTTTCTGAGATACACATTTATGGCCTAGCTTTCTAGAGGACAGGATCAGAGTTTATCTGCGTGTTTCTCATAGCTCCTGATGTATGTCTTGCATGTGTTCGTATTCAAGACAGTTTGACTCTGAGTTGCTTTTGTACACACCAAGAAGTCAACCAACGTTATCAAAGCAGGAGATGGTTGGATGGTTTGAGTTTCTTCTGTGACAAACTGGTATTTTTAAAAAAAAGCATGTGCCTTTGAATTTTCTATTTTTCAAAACATTTAAAAAAATAGTAACAACAGATCAGAAACTTATTCTTCTTTAGTAGTATATTCTCTAAGTAATTTTCAATAAAAAATGAATAGTTTTAGAAAAATACTTTCTGTTCTTAAAGAAGCAGCTAATGTGGAAGAGCCAGCCAATCATACTCATGGTGTAATGAAATCTGATAATTGAGTGACTTTACCAATTAATAGGAATTTCTCTCTAAAATTCACCAGTACATGTATATTTTTTTGAATTCTATTAAGCCCGGTTTTCCTGATGGAAAGGCATTTTCTAAATGTTAACTTTTTAAATTTCTTTTAGAAAGATTGACTTTGATACTGAGTATTGAATCTATCTTGAAAGAGTACAAAAGAGCCTATATATTAAACTTTATTTCAATGGTTATGTATTTCATTTCAACTAATATGATTAGAAATAATCTTTATTTGGTTCATTCCAATTTAGAACTTTTATTGAGCATCAATTTATGTGTAAGAAAAACCCTATTCTAATAAATTTATAAATTATTTTGGTATACCATAGCTTGTTTAAACTCTTGTTCAAATAGCTTGCTATAGTAGTGTGGTGGGTAAATAAAATAATCCTGACTGAAGGAGTCTGGGAAGGCTTCTGGAAGGAGGTGTGGGATTGGGGCTGGTAAATTTGTAACCAAGAATGGCATTCCAGGAATAGGAAACAACATTGCTTAAGCAGTGTCCTCTAAGTGAGGCTTGATTTGGGAGACTGCCAGGATTAGTGCAAATTGAAGCAGGAAAGAGGGCTAGGAAGGGAAATGGGAACCAAATTGTGGAAGACAGTTTTTAATTTTCTGTTTGTAGTGTCCACTCAGTGGAGGTTTTTGAGTAAGGAGGGTAGCATTTTGGGCAGGTATCTGATGATGTTCTACAGTGGACTACAGGTGGGACAGAAGAAAGGGGAAACTTGTACACCAGTATTTCCTAACCCTCCCTGATGTGAATCAGCTGGGAGTGATTCTTAACAATACAAATTTCCTGCTCCATTCCAGTACCACTTAATCAGGGGAAGAAGCATAGAAAGCTTTATCTTTAATGAGTGCCTCATATGATTTTTATTATAAGGTGTTTAGGAAACAATTTTAAGTAGTTTCTGGAGTAAGGTTTTGAATTCTTTTAACTTTTATGTCTATCAAAATGCCTTAAATGTAAAAAATTACTGTGGGTGTCCATTTTTTCAGAAAGCACTTCCATCAAAGTTTGTGATTTACAATTTTAGGGAATAACATTCTGTATTTATCCATTTTCTCACTATTGCTTTTCTCTCCATTTTTATTGTATCTCTTGCTTTTTGAGCTCTCATTTCAATTTCAAAGATTTAGACTACTTTTCCCCTCAGTTGCTATTTTTATTTTTGCTGGAGGAGTTTTTCTACCTTCGTCCCTCCCAGGCAAACACAACCATTACTACTGCCAAAAGAGTGGCCACAGTATAGGTTTCTGAGTTGGATTTATGTGTGTGTGTTGGTGAGGGGGTGGGGTGGTAGGTGTGGGGGCGGGTAGTAGGAAAACCCCGCAGGAAAAAGTAACTCCTAGGAGGTAGAGTAGAAGCCTGTACATTGAGAACTTCCTCTTCCCTGTCAATATTTTCTAGTGAAACTTGTTGAGAGAAACATCTGATTTCATGCCTCACTTAAGTTTTTGATTTGTCTTAGGTTTCTTTCTCACAGTTCATACGTATGAGAGGAAGTTGGGGAAAGTATATTTGTTACTTTTAGGCTAAACCGAATATAGTTTGTTAAAGCCAAGAAAGCAATTTGTAAATCACCAGGCAGAAAATGACCAATTTATATTTCTTAGTACTACCACATTTTTTTAAATCTAAGATGCTATGGATTGTAAGGCATATTATTTCATGGACTGCTTTAAAACAAAAGGCTGCCAGTCTAAGTATTATATAATGCTAAGATGCCATTTGACTATAAGACACATCTCTAATTTCAAGATTTTAATATGTGAAAAAAAGTGATCCTCTTAGAGAATTTATGAAATAAGATATCTCTTTCTACTGTTTAGCCATGCTGACTATTAATATAACACCAGCATTATGGTCTCCTTGCACAAGAGGAGGCAAATTCCTCTATGGTTCGTGTTAGTGTATCTTCGTTGTATCTGTTGCTGTTACGTGGTGTGATACAAAACATTGAAGTATTGGGAGAAAAGTTTTCATAACCTAAAGCATCTTCAATGTTATACCCTCATCGTTCTGCCGTTTACCAATTAGTATGAACTAATTTGTGTTAAGGAAACATGCATCATAGTAGATTAGATTCAATTATCGCAACTGCTCTGTATTTCTCTTATTCTGTTTTCCTTGTTCAAGATTTCTTCCACTTCTTCAGCTTTTCCTATGTTCTTACCTCCTTTATTATAACCTTTATTATAATCTTACTTAATTTTCTATGCTTCCACAGCACTTGTTATCTGTATTACTCATTTGGCTTTTAAAATATGTCATTACCTTTTTCTTTTGTTTTCTCTGCTAATCTTTAAGGCCATTGACTTATACAATGATTAGAACATACTTACGCTGTGGCCTTCTGAGTGTAAGTGTTACACATAGGCCGTGGCTGCGGGGAACGTGGCCAGTGTTCCCTGCAAAAAACCGGGTCCCTTTGGTAGAGTTGCAAGGGATAAGAAAATAATAGAGAGAAATGGAAAATGGAAGAAATAAAAGAATACACTGAGACAAAGATATAGTTTTATAAGTTTATAAAGATTATAGGCAAAGCGGGAGCTCAGGGGGCTCGGACCTCTACGTTGGTCTCAAAAAGCCCCAAATGAGGTCTTACATGGTAACTTATAGAAAATAGTAAACAATTGTCAGGGGTAACAGATTTACATAACAACAGGTAGTATCTCTCAGGTTAACAGATTTTCAAAAGGCTTTTACAGAAGGCTTCTACAGATTCTTTAACTAATTCTATTTACGTGAGCAAACGGTTACAAAGTCTTTCAAAGGTTAATTTCTAAATTCTAAGGTAAGTTTATCATTTAAACAGAGGGGTTAAACAGAGATATGTAAGCTCCATGTTTATTAGGTTATCGTGAATGGAGACAGGTAGTCTAGAGTGGTTTAAACAAAAGCTTTGCTTTTAGCCATTCAGGAAGCTGTCCTTTCCGGGAAGCTGTTTGTTCCGGAAGGCACTCCATTGTCAGCTCTCAGCCTATAGTTTTTGACAGATTCGCTTGTGCTTTACAAAGCAAATCCAATTCTTTAGGTCTGAGAAACGCGGCACCTCGTGGGATACAGCCACTACTGCCTTTCAGAGACACCCTTCCGAGTATGACAGCATTCGAAATGCAAACCAGCACATTCACCTATTCCTTCAGGGCAAAGCTCTGTAAAACTCCTAAGACAGATCCTGTCCCCAAACACGTTTAATACTAATTCATGGAGCGACACGTGGCTTTATATTTTATGTGTTATCTATAAATTTTGAATGTAGTTTTAAAAATAAATAATGTCTTCTGATAACATGTACAAAAGTCAATGGACTTAACATGTTTGTGCTTTTACAGAAAGCTAAATAGTGTAAAACCCCTAATAATACCTTGCCTTTTGAATGTTATATTAATATTTCTGTCATTCTTTAGTTGTATTCCTTCATAATTGAACAGTCTCCAGGTTTGAGTTTTGTGGCCATCCAACAGAGGTGGAAGCATCAGTATTTGCACATGACTTATGATTTTCTCCTTTGCTCACTTGTATTTGTTTTATGATACTTAGGCATGTATTGGCACCTTGACAATCTACCTTTCCTTCCTTTAATGAAATATATAATACCCAGTTATATATATTGAGATGACACTGCCACTATTACAGTGTAGCACAGATATCTGAAAGTCAAAGTTGGGTATATGACACTAATTTATAATGTTAGTATATGATTGAAATTATGAGTTATTCAAAGGTTAAGACCTGTTTTCAGTGAACTCTTGGATTCAGGCAAAATTATCATTTCCTTGGGAAGTGAAAATTAATCTTGTGTTTTAATTATGTAAATTATTAAGTTTGATATATGGTTTGAAATATTTGTACTAAAGAAGAGAAAATTTCAGGGAACACAGAATAGTAGGCAAGGATGAGATACTAGGAAAGGTAGATTTGAAAACCAAGAAGAAAATAAGCTCAGTAGAATGGTCTTGGAGATTGGGGGAAAGAAGAAAGAACATTATAAGAGATTAATAAATAGTAAGGACATTGGGACATTTGAGCAGGATTTTGGGTATGATATGTTTTATCTTAGATTGTTTTTTATTTCGTCCATTGTTATGGAATGTGGGTAACTGTAGATGGTAGATCAGAATCTTTAATTTTTACTTTAACTTTTGTAAAAAAAAAAAAAAAAGTAAATGGGAAATGGCTATACTACAGCATTTTTTGATCATTTTATATTCTAGCTGCTCAGTTTATTTACTCACGACGTGACAAACCTTCTGTTGAGCCTGTAGAAGAATATGATTATGAAGATCTAAAAGAGTCTTCTAATTCTCTTTCAAACCATCAGCTAAGTGGAATTGATCAAGGTATAGCAAAAAATAGTGTATCTGTTTCTTACCTGAAAATGATTAATAACCAAATACACCAGAATTTATCAGTTTTATCATGATTGTTCATAACAATGACTATAGACTAATGATACAAACGTATCTTATATCTTCAGGAAAAATTTGTTTATTAAGTATGTTGTATGAAGTGTGTATTTAACTATATGGCTGAAAAGTTGATTGTGTGGCTATTGTTTAGTAACTAGAATTTTTGATTGAACTGTCCTATTCTTTCATTTTTTCCGTAGGAGAAAAACTTCAGTGATTTGTTATAGGAACTTTTTAAGACTATTTATTTAATAAACTCTGTGTAGAGTTTATGATTAGAATGCAGAAACTCCTTTACTTAGAAAGATGTTTGGTTCCAAAAGGTTTAAAAAAAAAAAGTTGAAGTCTAAAGTAGCACTATACAAGTGTCCTGATTATTATCTGTGTAAATTAAGTTTCAAGATAGAACTTGTAAATGGTAATGACATTGGTTCTGAATTTGCTTATTTTCAAATCTCTTAAACATTTTAACAAAGATACTTATATTTTGGCTTTCTTCTTTTATAAATAAGTTTCAAACATGACATTGCTCAAGCCATAGATTGATAGCAGAATTAAAATGGCCAGGTATAATAGTAATGTCATCTGTTGATAGCAGGGCTGAGCCACTTTGCTTTTTGTCTGGAGTGTGGCTTTGTTCTATAAATGTTTTTAAATTGAAAATTTATAATAATTAATTTGAAAAAGAAATTTATGAATCTGGGAGCTGATTATTGAATGAATCAGTAAACTATATACCAGCTGCTAGCAAATCGAGAAAAATGGAGAGAAAGCATAAATATACAAAATTAGAAAGCAGAAAGGCAAACAATAGGTACAGAAGAAATGAAACGAATTTATCAACTCCGCATATACATTTGAAAATCTGGATAAAAATTTGAAGATGAGAGGCTGTGTGAAATTCTCAATAGTATTTAATTGTATTTTTAAAGAAAGTGTTAATAGTTAACTTTGTGGGTTGAGAGGGTAGGAGCGGAGTAGAAGTCTTGTCCTTCTGCTATGCTTTGGTAGACACTGATAAAGGAGTTGTGAAATTCAGAGTTATGTTTGAGAAGGAAAGTTAATCATTCCAACCTGACACATGTAAGTAATTGCATGATGACAATAATAATGATTGTAGCTAACTTTTACTAAATACTCTCCAGGTACTATTCTACATACTGTTTAAGTGTTAGCATCTTTAATCTTGACAACGTTATGAGGTAGGGCAGTTGTCTTCATTTTGCAGGGGAAGAAAATGAGACACAGAGCAGTAACTTGCCTGAGATTGTACCAGCTAGTAAGTGGCAGTAGGATGTGAACCAAGCCAGCCTAATTCCATAACCTCTACTTTTAACCCCCTTACTGTACTGCCTCTTTGTCTATGTGTAGAAAATAGTTCCTATAATTAGAAGAGGCCCTGATGCTAGCTATGCTATGTATTCTTTCCAGTTTCAGTAATTCATGTATTTTTTCAAACAGGTATTATTTTTCCAGCATAGCTTACTAGCCTTTTAAAATTAATCTTGGATTGAATCAAAGCAGAATTGCTCAAATATTTGAGGAATTTATTTTTAATAATTAAAAAATAGAGCAATGGGAAAAAGCATCAAATAAATTTTTTTAAAGCAATAAAGATATTGCCAGTAGTCTCCTTGTTCAACATGTAAGTATGTAAAATTCAATATAAATTGCATTTTGTGCTTGCTTTGGCAGCACATATACTAAAATTGGAATGATTCGGAGAAGATTAGCATGGTCCCTGTGCACAGGGATGACACACAAATTTGCAAAGTATTCCATATTTTTTTGTACCCCCTTAATATTTTGAAATTAAAAAAAAATTTCATTCTATGAAATGGTTTTGTGGAGTAGAGAGTCTGAAAACCTCAGTTCTGTTTTGATTATTGCTAACTTAGTAGTGCCATAATTTTCAATCTCATCTTTGTAAGTTAGAATTTGCCTGATATGTCTAGCCCATAGTGTTATGAGGGTTACAAAATGAATACATACAAAAGTAATGTGGAAATTGTCAAGTGTTATACAAATATAAATGAATATATTCATTTTTATTTATTGGCCCCTAGATACCAGGTACTGTTTTAGGTTCTAAGGATACAAAGGTAGTGTTGGCTCTCATGGATTTCGTATCACTAATTAATATTAATTAATAATTACTTTTTAAAGATAACAGTTATCAGAAAATTAAGATCCATAAGCAGTTTAGATAATTCCAGGTTTAAATTTTTTATTTTAAAAATGAACATCCTCCTCTTAATCTACTGGATGTCCTTGTTTTTATGGCATTTTTATATTAGCTTTTCTTGGCCATTTTTTAAAAGCCATTAAGGATGGTTTAGTTGGCTGGGAAAAACTGAAGTTAGCCTAAAAGAAAAGTAGTAATTTAAGAAATGTAAGAAATAGACTTAGTCATTAACTGGGTTCACTAACAAGTTAGAAATAGTCCCACACTCTCCCCTCCTTTTGCACATGTCTAAAATGATCAGTGCAGATACTGTCATCCTTGATGACTGAAAATAAGTATTAGTATATACTGTGCAATTTACATTTTTTTCAAGCATTAGTCAATATTATTCAAGAGACTTTTATCATTGACTGAAAATAGCTATTTGTATATATAATTTACACTTTTTAAAATCATTAGTCATTATTATTCAGGAGACATGTATTCTAGTGATTTCTTAATCAATGAAGTTGTAACTGTGGTAAGGGAAGATAGGTATATTATAGATAAAAAATATGATCATTATACATAATTTTTGCCAAGGAGAAAGGAGAGTTGAATATTCTAGTATTGTTTCAAATCTTTTTATCAGTTTTGAAGATTGAGGGTTCTTTCATGGCACCATTTAGTATAGCTTTTGATCATTGTCTGTTTTAGCTCGTCTTTATTCATGCCTGGATCACATGAGAGAGGTACTTGGCGATGCTGTGCCAGATGAAATATTGGTTGAAGCAGTTCTGAAGAACAAGTTTGATGTGCAGAAGGCTTTGTCAGTGGTTCTGGAACAAGATAACATGCAGAATTTTAAGGACAAAAGTGAGGGAACAATATTTACAGGAAGGACTGAAAAAGGTATGCCTTTACTTGTTCTCTTTTAGTTGTTTTACATAGTGTTTGAGCTTTTAAGAAAAAATTTAATTTGCTTGAGCTGTTAAAATCTTGCATGTTACAGTTAACTCTTGATTATTATTAGTTGATCTTCTAGTTTGTGAATTTTTAAGATGAGTGTTCTGTTACACCTTGGTTTTCGGTTATTTCACTACTTGTTTTCATATCTAATAGAACATAGTGGAAATAAGATCAGATAAAACAACACAAGACTTTTTTTTTTCTTGCTGATAGCTTAGAGAACTTTTTATTGTTTTTTAACTCCAATGAAATAGGAAATGGAATAGCCAGCCAATTAATGTTAAAAATCCCTTTTTCCTTATATTATTAATATAATTCCATTTTATTTAAATATCATTAAATGTAAGTATCATAATTATACTATTCTTGCATTTTATAGGCAGATATTTAATTTTAAATTTGTAGGATTTGGTATTAAATTTGGAATTTAGTGGACAAAAGAGGGGAGATGAGGTGGTACCATTATATTAATTGGTTGGTATCTGTCAGGATGAGTATGGTGATTTGTTAAGTAGGTCAGTATTTCTTGTAACCTGTGGGCTAGATTTTTTGCTACTGCAAGGTTGAGTACAGTCTGTTACCATGAAATAAGAGTTTTCTGGGGAGGGGTGGGGAGGCACAGATGCATACTTTTAACGATTATGGGAATGAGTCTGTAGTATGTCATCTTGTGATAATAGTGTTTCCTAGATTGCAGTAGAAATTACAGGGTGTTATTTGTTTGCTTGTTTGTTTTCATTAAAATACAGGAGAAAATGAACCTAGTGCTTTTTTCTTTTTCTTTTTTTTTAGAAGTTTTGAGTTTGAGATAATCCTGACTATAATTTAATTACGGTTAAAACCTTACTTTGTTAAACTCATGAAAATTAGAACATTGACTGGCTTGATACTTAACACCTTTGTTGTTTATCAGTGAACAAAGTATGATGGTTACTTTAGATTGTTAAGGAAGGTAATATTCCTTTATTGTTTTTTAGTGTTCACTTAATGTTTAATAATGATCAAGTATCACTTTTTTCATGTCATAATCAAAAGAAGCATTTAGTAATTAAATGCCTCATTTCATGTTTCCTTTTGGTTGCGGTGACTGTCTTCTGCATATGTCAACCATTCATCTGAAAACTAATGGCTCTTGTAAGGTAAGGAGTCTTATTTTCTTCCTCTGAAGTTTCAGCTGATAATGTTGAAAGTTCTTATCCTCAATCAGCAAATCATTTGGATTATAGTAGCAAACCCTTTGATTGTTCTAGCTCAGTAGCAAAATATGGATCATATCATAATTCTTCAGTTCCAAGTCACTATTTACTTCATAGAAAAAAGAAACTTGACAGACCTAAAAGTGAAAAGAAACTAGAATCATGTAAGTTAACAAAAGAGCTTTCACTAGCTGACCTAATTCATGATATGCCAAGAGATTCTTGTAAATATCAGCCGTCAGTCAGATTATCATCCACAGGTAGTCCCGAAGGTCTGCTTTCAAAGAATGTAGATGGTGATTTGTTAAGATCTCAGGCATCTGAATGTGTTTCCAAAGATGATTCTGCATTCAAAGAAATACCAGATTTAAAGTCCTTAATGACAAAGAACACAACACTGAATAATTCTTTATTTGTTCAAAACAATTCACTGTCTGATTTCCAAAACATTCCAGTACAAAACAGTTTAGGAAGTTCAAATAATCCTTTGCACTTAACTAGCTCATTGGAAAATACAACTCTTGATAATTTAAATGCTAGTAAAAAGACTGAAATTGGAAGTGTTTCTTTAGGTGAACAAGGTGCCAAGAATTACATTTTAAAAAATGACAACTTGCAGTTTTTCCAATGTGAAAGTCCATCCCTAGCTGAACTGTTTCAGGAACACAAAGAAAACAATCTAAGCCAATGCTTTACTTTATCTGATCTTTGTAACCAGTCATCTGCCAGTTTTACAGATCTAAGTTTGGGATCCTTTCCCCTGTCACAATTAGCAAATCGCTCTCAGTCTTCAGCTGGAATATCAGAATTAACAGGATCTCTGTCATCTTTGGCATTTCATAAAGCTTCTCCCATAAGAGACCTTGAGAATTTGTCACTTTCTGATTTGATTGCAGAAACGATTGATGTAGACAACTCTCAGATTAAAAAAGATTCCTTTGAGCTCAGTTTATCTGAAATGAGGTCTCCTGGAATAGACTCAAATATTGATCTTAGCGTCCTTATAAAAACCCCAGATTTTGCTCCAAAGCTTTTAGTAGAACAATCAGTTGCTCCAGCATCAGGAACTAAAGTTCCAGATTCAAAGTTAGGGAAAAATTCCAATTTTCCTAAGGAAATTAAGAAAAACAATAAAGGGTCTTTGACTAGGAAACCACCTTTTTCTCTCTCTTGGACCAAGGCCCTTGCTGCTAGACCTTCAGCTTTTGCTTCAACACTGTGTCTTCGTTACCCACTGAAAAGCTGTAAGCGACGCACCTTTGACCTCTATAAGACTTTTCTTTATAGTAGACAAGTTCAAGACATAAAGGACAAAGAAATAAGTCCTCTTGTAGCAATAACACCATTTGACTTCAAATCAGCATCTCCTGATGACATTGTAAAAGCTAATCAAAAGAAAGCATTTACTAGAGAATAGTAACAAAAGGAAAACTTGATTACTGTTGTAGAGCTTTTTACTTGTAATTAAAGTCTTTATAGGGTCACTTTATATTGTGGGATTCAAGTTGTGATTTTTATATTAAAATTGTCTTAAGTCAGTTGATAACAACTTCAGTTGGTATGTAGTTTTGCACTGAAATTTTTTTTACAATCTTTTAGTGATTACTGACTTTAAGTTGATGGCCTATAATGAGTATATGTTTACAAAGTGCATATGAAAACTTGATATTGTAAAATCAAACCTCAGATATTTTTATTTGAAGCATTCAACTTTATAAGTTTTTATGATGAGATTTTTTTTCTATGAAATATTTTTGTGCTTTGTTCTTAAACAAAAATGCCAGCACTTGGGATTATTATAGTTTAGTATCAAGATTATTCTTATGTGGCATAGCATAGCTGAGACATTATATATTCAAATAGTACTGATATCATTCCGAGTTTCATTATTTTTCTGCAGGTAAATACTAAAATTTTCCTATTAGAAAATCTTAAAATTCCTGACTTTTAAGAGTACCTTGGAAGTTGTTGAAGTACATTTTTGATGATGATGATAATATAAAAATCTTTTAAGGGACCATGTAAATATAGAAACTGGATTAATACATGAATTATTTTTATACATTTTCAAAACAGTTGTCCTAAATGTACCCCTTAAAATAAATATATAGGAAGTGTTGTCAAGTATGGTTGCATGTTCTTCAAATAGATATTTTACCAGATCTCTCTTTTTCTTTACAATAAGTAATGAAATGTGGAGTTTTCCTTTTTGCTACTGACAGCTGTGTGCCCTACAGTGACAAAGTTTCAGCAAAGGTGGATCAAATAAGAGCCTAGTGAGCAGAATAGGTGGGTAACTAATCCTTTAACGCAGTGATCCTTCACTAGCAATCATAATCACTGGGGGAATTATTTCAAGACAGATACTGTGTCTTCACTCCAGATGTGCTGAATCAATCTCTGAGGGATGGCACTTGGGAATGTGTATTTTCAAAATGATTCCCAGGTGAATCTGATGGATACTTCTGCTTGAGAACTACTGCCTTAGAGAAGGAAATCAATAGAACGAAATTATTAATGCTAAGAATAACATCTGACCATCTTGAATTCATACTTTCTAGAAAATACCAAGGAAAATTGCTAATTAGAAATTATGGTCTTTTGCGTGAAATGATGCAGATATTATTAGTATTCCTTGCCAAAAAAAATACAGCAGTATCTATAATGTTACTTCTTAAAGAAAATAAAATAGCTGGCCTTTTCCCTGTAAAGAAGTATTTTTCTCCCAGAGCTACTTCACTATACATATGGTAATTCTTTTTTGTTCACTTCTTGTTTCTGTTTATTTTCAGAAAGACATTCCAAAATTTTTAGCTCTTTCTGATGTTTTTATATTCAGTATTTTGTTGGGAAAAGTTAAAATGGCATTATGTCTTCATTGTTATAAATAAGCAAATACTTTTTGATTTCTTGTAATGTCTTCAGGTTTTGTTTTTAACTGCATATTTCAATGCACATAATACTGATACTTAGGAGATCATATAAAACCCAAGCTATACTTTCTGATTGATTAAAATGTGAATTACCCCAACTGCTGAGTTTGTTTTTCTAGTCTTGAACCTTTATTAAACATTTTAGTAATTTTGAACTATAGTAGATGACTCATCAACTAGATTTATATGTAGGCAGTCTCCAATTTAGAAGTGAATTATAATATATTCTAAGAGTTTTTAACTAATAATAATTCCGATTAATTGCTACCTAAGTGGTCCACTTTGCACATGAATCCACGAATACTTATTTAACCTATATTATAGTTGAATAGTGGCACTATTATTTTACCTTCTTTTATAACAAAGTAATTTTCGAGTGAAAATACAATACTTTTAAAGCCATATAGCAGACCTTATAGAGTGAACTGAATCTCCCTTTGGATAAGGATTGTAACTACCATTTATGAGATTATTTTTGTGGGGAATAAAATTATGTATTACAGGGTGATAAGGGAAATAATAGTATCTTAAATAGGTTTCCAGGCTTCCTATTTCCCGTGTCTTGGCTTTGGGCCTGTCAGGCATGATAAGCATTTGCCCTTGTTCACCAAGCGAATGTCACAGTCTCTGAGATTCTGAGGGTGGAACCAAGAAGACCACTCCTCCTTCTACCCTTCGCCATTGGCCCTTGGTAAAAAGATGAGTGCCTTGGCCATTGGCCCTTGGTAAAATGATGAGTGCTTGCTCGTTCTTGAATATACTCCTTGTGATGATACTGTTCACACTAAGTGCATATTCTGCACTAGCTGCTGTTTATTGCCTGCTGTCTTGGTAGCTCAGGTATGCCGTTTTGGTTTTTATTATTTTTCAGTTCAAATATCAATTTTGAGATGCAGAGCCATTTTTATTTGCATTATCATCAAGTACATTAATATTTTACCTTAGGAATAGAAATAATTTGTAATTACATTCTAAATGATATAAAATACATTAAAAAATTATCGTTTTTGTTCTTCACTATTTTTGTTCTTTAAGAGATCTGATGTTCATGAATGTTTTGTCCTTTTGCATTCTAAAATCTTTAGTTGGCTCTTTTAGATATAGTTCTTCTTACAATTAATTGCCAAGAACCAGGGTTTCATTTCTGTACAGAACACTTTCCTTTCCTTTTCTTTTCCCTTTTCTCTTCTCCTAGTTACTAAACTGGCATTTTAACCTCTTTTCTTCCCTTTAGCTCTGAATTCTTCTTTCTTGAACTTTTACTCTTTTCCTTCTCATATAAGTAGTGATAACTAGTCTGAGTGATTTATATTTATTAATAATTTTTACTACTCAGTGGGAGGTCATGTAACTAATTGTCATAATAGGGATAAAACTAGTAAGGTGCTCTTTTTTGTATATAAAAGGAAGCACATAAGATAAACACAGTCATAGAGAAAAATAATGAATTCTTATGTGATTATTTATCTTTTAAATTGACCGAGAATCTATTTGTGGACCATTGCAAATAAACAAGTACAAATCCTATATTGAGAAAGAACTTTATATCAATTAAGTTTTCAGTTTTGTATTTGGTTATAAAATCAGTTTTATAGTAGCTTAGAAATTGTTTTCTATTATTTTTATAAGCAGTGGAACATATATAAATACAGATAATGTTGACTATACAAGGAGGATTAATAGGGATTTCTATACTAGTTTTCTTTTACCTGTATACTTTTAATTACATAAAACTTAGCTTACGCAGTTGTATATTATAATTTTAATTTTTAGGTTGTAAAAAACTTGTCACATTTTGAGTGTATATGTGTGTTTTGTAAAAGCTACATTGAAAGAAAGTATAATTCTGAGGTTTTCTTAAATCAAATATGAAAACATAATTTACCCATCAGGGTTTTCTATATAAATTTGATATGTCTGAATGATTTTTTTACTAATTTATGCTGAAGGTACTGTTTTATGTCTTTATAAACAAATTAAAAAGAAAAACAAACTATCTGGTTGTGAAGAATTTCTTTTAAGATAATTAGCATTTAGAATTCTTCCTTTCCACAGGGTAAAATTTTATATATTCTTTTAACTTTTTAGGACTTACACAGAAACAGTATTAAAGTATAGGTTATGGTGAACATTGGTAATGTAATTGAAGAGATGACAGTGGAAGGTAAAAGAAATGATCAGCTGGGCACAATGGTACATGCCTGTAGTTCCAGCTACTAGGGAGGCTGAGGCAGGAGGATTGCTTGAGCCCAGGAGTTTGTGCCAGCTTGGGCAACATAGTGAGATCCCTGTCTCCAAAAAAAAAAAACAAAAAAATGATGAAGTGTACATATGTTTCTGATGTTGGGATTCCTGATTTATATCGTATGACTAAAGGAAAGCATTTTAGATGCAGGATGTATATATTCCAGGATGAACAAAGGTGTGATCCTTACCATCAAGGGGGAGGGAAGATATGCACTTAAATACATAATTATATTTATTATAGTTTGGCATATATAACATTATACCGTCTAAAGCTGACATCTTTGTCTTCCTCATTCAAGCTGCCACCTCCTCCTGTTTCCTATCTTTATTACTAGTATTACCATCCCCCAGTTTCTAAAACCAGAAACCTAGCTTCGTCCTTGATTCCTCTCTCCTCACCTACTACTTATAATTGATTACCATTCTTGTTATTTCTATCTTATAAATAAATATATGTGTGTGTACACATAGGTATGCATATACATAGAATTGTTATTTGTGGTAGTTATATTTTATAAAGTCACTGCAAAAGCTGAATTAGTCAATACTGAACCATTGCTTCTTTGGGAAATAAAGGGTTAGGTTCCTGTGAGCCTCTAGTCACAACATTTTTGTCAGCCAATCAGTACACACCCTTGCTTTATTTATATATCATGGATTCATTAACATTGAACTCATGATCAACAGCAGTATAACTCATGTCTTATCTAACACATCTCCATCCTAGCCTTCTTATGCTTAGGAACACCAGACAACACTTCAGCACTACACTTGCAGACCATTTTAAACAGCAAAATTATCAACAGAAAGCACAAATGAAAAAATGTGACATGAAATAGACCATGAAAAGGACACTTGTTTATAGTATGAGAGTTGAAACAAGAAGGCAGAGTGTCTCCTGCAAGTGAATGCAAAAGTGAGTAGTGATTTGGGGGTTACAAATAAACTGTAGTGAGTAGGTAAATTCACAAATGTGGAATCTGAGAATAACAAAGATGGCTTGTATATTTTTTGGCCCACTACTCTCCATCTTTATTTCTGCTTTTCCTTTTAAAGGCCATTAGCTTTTGACAGAATTACCAATACATCTAACTAATTTCTTGACTTTTCAGTTTATCCCCCTCCAAGTACTTTCTATATTACAGACAGAGTAATTTTTCTAGAATCTAATTTTACATCCCTATCTAAATCCTTTTATTTTCTAAGTCCCTTTATGAACTTCTGTTTGTGTATCCTCTACCCAAAGCTACCCTCAAACACTGAGTTTCCTTGTTTCTGTAGTGCTTGCTCCCCCGCCCCCCAATTGGTCTTCAGGTTGTGTTTAGATACCACTTTACTCCCAGTTGTGGGTTAGGGTAGCCTTCGTGTGCACCCATAGTTCACTGTACTCCTTTTATTACCATCCCGTGTGAAATCATAATTCCCTTCACACACATACTCTTTCTCTTGTAACCATGCTTTAGTGTTCCTCACAACACTTGTGTCACTGACATTGCTTGTGTTGTATACATACTTGCTTTATTATCTGTCTCCTCCTTGCTCCCCATTCCCTCTCCTCCATGTAAATTCTTCAAATGCAGGAATTTTGTGTGTTCACTGCTGTATCCCCAACTTAGAATCTGGTACATAAATGTAGGAAAGGCGTTTAAGTAAAAGTGGATTTCTCTCCTAATAGAGTCCCACAATTTTGTGCTGTACTGCGGTTCCCAACCTCTGGGCCATGGACCGCTGCTGCTCCACAGCCTATTAGGGACCGGGCTGAGAGCTCCGCGGTCTCCCCACCCCCAACCCGGACCATGGAAAAATTGTCTTCCATGAAACTTAGGAAGGGGGTGGTGGGACCCGCACAGGAAGTGAGCCAGCCCAAGAGGGAAGCTTCTACACTCCCCATCTCTGGCATCACCGCCTGAGCTCTCTGCCATACACCCCTATCCCCCATCCCCCA